TTAAACGGCGGAACCAGCAAAATTCATAGCAATCCAGACACACGTTAGGAAGTTCTTTTGTGCGTCCGCCCGATGGGAGAAGAAACGATATAAACTGGCCATCAGCTTTCCGTCGAGTCAGGGATTTCGATTCGATTGGAGCCTGCTGGGAAACAGCAGTACGCCTTCCGTCGTCCGTCAGAGGACAGTGGATCGTTGATCCTTGTTTCTTCGCCGAGCCACGAATTTCCTGCTACAGTGACAAATGCGCCGAGAAAGATTTGTCTCTGTCGCTATCTGTATAACAACCCGGGGAACGGGGAGCTGGGAAAATGCACCATTTTGCAATCTGTCATCGAATCAGAAAATTCCTGATACAAAAATGGGAACGCTTCGAAGCTAAACAAAGGCGCTGGTGTTAAAATAGGGAAAAAGCCATGAACAGACTGAAAAATTGCGCGACAAAGTCAAACCGGCGGATCATCCTGACGGGTGAAACATTTTAACAGCTTAGCGCTCTGAATTTTTTCGCCGTTGCGACGTGAGTCCTTTATAGCTGACACTGTTTGATGTATTAAATGTTGCACAAACTGACTGACAGCTGAATCGAATAAAAGGATTACTTTTAGGATGCGTACACTCTACGCCGCTGTTTATAAACAAAATGTTCTTCGATGGAATTTTTCTCTCGAATGAAAGATCAATTTTAAGCGAAATATTCTGTACTATTCTGTGCTATTTGCACGAGCATTCCATTGTCAGAGCGTTAACATACCCTTCCACAGGTTGTCGAGAGACATGTTTAATGCCCCCCCCCCCCAACAGTACCAAGGAAAGTCATTAATATTATAATCTGCCGCCAGAACGAAGAATTCCAGAGTCACCGAAGGAACAGTTCCACAAAGGATTTCACAGTTACAACGAGAAGCAACCCCCGAAGAGGTTGAATGGCTGTAAGGCGAACTCGAACCGACAAACCAGTCGGAGAAGCGGAGGATTCCAACAGCTCCAGTGATGGAACCCTCTTCAATTCGAGTACCATTTCCATCTTGTTTTCACCGGGAGTAGTCGGCAAAAAGGAGCCACGCTCAATTTAATTAATACTAGCCGCCATTGACGTTGCTCGATCGCGCGCAAAAGCCCGCAGGAGATTCTCCACGGAGTGGCTACGAATAAAAAGTTAACTCGGCCCACGGTGGATTCAGTCGCTTTTCGGCGCTGCCGGGAGGGAAACTTTATTCCCAGGAAAGTTACTCGTGAAAGTTCTTGGCAATAGCCGAGGAAAAATATTCTGGGACCGTCTCGACCGGTTCACACCTGACATATCAGAGCGTCCCAGAAAATCCGATCCACCAAAGGTATAATTTAATATAAATAAGAACTTCGAACAGAGAATCAGTATAATAGTTTTATTTTCCACGGTACATTTTGGATATATTAATTAGCAGAAATGTCGTGTAATTTGAACCTTTGAGGGCTACGTTACTAAAATTATTAAATCTTTTTCACTCCAAGGATTTCACCGAGTGATTGGTTGCCAACTTAACCGGTTGGAGCGATATGGGTTAAAGTTGAACAGATTCGTGCACCTTTATGAAAATGAAACGGGCGACGCTGGATGAAGGGAGAAAGAAGTAATCTCTTGGAGATTTTCATGGAGACTGATACCTTGGTCCGCGGTGTTACGTAACGGCGAAACGTTTGATAAATGCAAGTTTATTTCAATCCTCTTTGCGTAGGAAGTGGTCAGGGTCGACGTCCACTAACCCAGATAAAGCGACTTTGGCTCTATGTATGGTATCTTCGGTTCTCCAGGGGGTGTCGGAAGGAGGCGACGACTTGCACGCGTTCTCTCTGTCCTGCAGTATAGAAATCTTTTATCTCTATCTTTCTCCATCGCCCTCTCGGTTTCTTGCTCTGCTGGATGGACGCCCTACTCGTCTCTTTTGCCTGGCTTCATGGCTCGACTGCGATCGAACTCCACCGTCCCTGTATTATTCGTCGCTCTTTCATTAATTCCAGTCGTTTCTTGGACTGAAAAATGTTCTCGCACGGTAACCATGCCTTTCCGAATACAATGGGCGATCGTCGGCATGCTGGAGAACAAGTCTGGGAAATAGGGCAACAGAAAAATATTAGACTCGTGCGATTTCTAGAATTTTGTCTGTTAAGTTGCGATGAATCGTGGAAGACGTCTAAAATAAAAGAGGAGTAATACGATTTCCTTTACCCGCTTTTGAGCCAACTTTGTGAAAAGAAGGTGGAAAAGTGTTGGTAATGGATGCAAGGGAATCGTAATGTATACAACACAAATTATTCTCGACGGCTCCCTTCAAGAGGCAGCAATATATTTACAATGGAAATGAAAAGAATCTTGAGGAACTTTTTATTAAAACGGAATACATCGTACGATTGCCTGTCTATATTTCAGACAATAAATCTAAAGAACGAAGCAATAATTTAAGTGTGAATAGACACGTGTTTTCATTATAGTTTATTTCTTGAAATGAATTCTTTTCATTAGCCTCTATAAGACATTCTCAACGTAAGCAGTAGTTTAATTAGCATTTGAAAAAAATTTTCGCGTCGTGGAAATATCGTATCAGTGGCGCGGATTGAAGAAAGGATTTTCCCTAGGAAAGCGAAGAAACTTAATATCCTGGTATGTTAATACCGTGCTGCGTTGCTCTGACTAATAATGATTCCGACTCACCGTTCCTGCCTTTATAAATACTACTTTGTCCTCCTTTTGGAATTTTTCCATGGTAAACATGTTTACGTCTTCCATGAATTGTTGATAATTTCTTTAGCGCAGTGAGCAATAACAATTTTATACTCTGCTTTATTCTCTCCACGCTTGGAGTCGTATCGTGCTGTTCGCAACATTTTCCGTGAAGCACGGCTTGTAACGTCAATTATCGCAATTGTTAGTTTTTTAGTTCCGATACTTCCACGTACCAATTTAAACAAATATTTGCTACGCAGCTATTTGTTTTGATCGGTGCGCACCAAAAATCGGACGTTGTTTATTTTTAACTCTTTGCGGTTTGTTCTCTGCTGCCGGAATAGTATTCGTGGTTTTTAGATCGTATATTTTTCCGAGAATAAAACTTCGACGCAAAGTTATAGGAGTAAAATGGAATTATTAAAATTCTCTTGTACTGTGAAACCGATATTCAATCACACTGCACATTTTAATAGGCTCTCGTGTATATTGTACTATTCTCGATGTTTGGAAAATACACTTTCCTACTTCATCCAACGTTTCTGTAACGATGAATACCTGGCAACTCATGGCTCATACGTAATACCTGATATCTGACACATCTTACGTAACGTCTGTTCCTGATACTTAACACCTGACACCTAATTCCTCATAGCTCATATCTGATACGTGAAACCCGACACCTTACAAATAACATCCAACAACGGATGCTTGTCGCCTGACACCTAATACCTCATACCACGTATCTGATCCCTGAAACATGACACTAGACGCCTGATATCTGACACCTTGTACCTGATGTCGATTATCTCGTAACGAAATAAACACGGGTGGCGTAGAACGTCGATTAAGCACAAGGTTTGATAAAGAAAATCTACCGATTATCCAAAGAGACGATGTGAGCCCTGTTTTCTGCGGACATATACCTCCAATGGCGGTGATTTCTGTTGCTACAACCATTTTTATATTTTTATTGGGCATAAGGGTAGATTCTGAGGGTATTAGTTTGCATTTTTGAAAAGTAATTTCCTCTACTGTTTTCTATCGAATGTGGGAGCTGTAAAATTGAATCGTGGTCCCGAATGATCGCTTTCGAGCGTCATGGAGTCGGATTCTGGGCTGTCAAACGACATGGTATGGCGACAGGTTTAATTCGCGGCGTGGTCAGGGTCGACGGGGGGTCCAGTAACCCAGATAACGAGTCTGGTGGTTCGTTGGTGGCGTCTTCCCTAAAAAGGGAGCCGCGCTTCGTAGATCCCGTGCGTTGCGTGCGCGTTTCCGTCTCGCTTCTATCCCCACCACGTCGCGTGGTCTCTCCGTTGTCTCTCTTTCTTGCGCGGCCACCCCTTCGAAAGCCATCCAGCAACCCCCTCCAACCCCTCGGCACCGGTACGCGCACTCGTCCGGGGGTAGTAGATAGTCCTGGCGCAGCCAGTGCCCGCGCGTCTTTCGCGATCATCGGACCGCGCGTACGAAAAACGGGAAGGTGTTCTTCGTCGCGTGTCCGTCAGCCCTCGAGGACTCGTCGCGACCTTCGAGCAAATCGTTCCAACGGCGAACGTTGATCAACAACAACGATGCCTCGTTTACATTGAGGATTAACGCAGTGTGACAGAGTGTTGAAGTGTCTATAAGACGCCAGTATACGTTCCAAACACGCAATAGAGTTTCCTGCTCGTTGATACTCGTGGATCTTCGGAGCCTGGACCCTCTGCTCGTCGGAAAGTAGGATTATCAGGACAGTTAGTTATTCGTCGAACAGACGGGAGAGTGAATCGCGACCATGAGGACACTGTGAAGATCTCGGAGAGTGAACGGTTCCACGATCGAGGAGAAGTTCTCCACGTGTGATCCAGGGTCCCCGTGATCGCCGCGAGCGGCTGCTACGCTGGAACGTTAACGAAGTATCGGTGATCGTAGTCGAAAGTTTTCGATCGGGCACCGTAATGTACGGGATAACGAGAACTTGGCAGAGATAATGCGGTGTTATGGTTATCGGGATGCACATTCGCGGTGATCTTATCGGACGGGGACGATAACGAGAGTCGTTTCGAACAGGATTGACACGATTCGATGGGAACGACCGATCGATTATCCGTTGTTCCGCGAAGAGGAAGCATCTGCCTGTGATTCTTGAATCGCGATCATCTCCTTTCGGAACGATTATTGTTTTTCGAAGGAGCTACGAGGATTTCCAAGGTTTTCTGCGGAAGCATGCTACGCAGGACAAGCCTCGCGAGCGCGGTGATCGAGGTCGAATGAAACGTGAGTGTCTGGTGTTCTCGACAAGGTGGTTCTGGTGAAAAAGACGGACTCGTCGCCCCCAATAGAACTCGGTGCTGTCGTCGGAGCTGAATGTTGAACGGTGTTCACCGGATAGAGAGAAACGTGAGTAGATAGACGGAACGGGTTCAAGAGGATAACGAAAGAGCTCTTCGTGGCTCGGTTTTCAGACCAACTTTCAACCTGGTGTCGAGGATAGCGTCGACATCGAGTCGCTAATGCTATTTTTTGAGGTCGCGGCGTGTTTACGGTTTGTTATGTTCCTCGAGGGCTCGCGGGCCACTGGAAAATACCAGTTATCTTCGTCTAGAAACAGTCTAGCTTCTCTCGATTACGACCGTAGTATCGTTAGCCTATATGCAGCGACCGAAGGAATAATTTATAGCCTAGTTACCTCGAAATCGAGGACTCTTGTGCAACGTCCGCAGAGGCTACACACAGGATGCATGCATCAGGCCTGTAGGCAACGTATAAATTAGGGCAACGACCTAAATTTTGTAGTTGATATGTTCCTGTACCATCTGAGGAGCTCGATTTTTCATCTCTTCTCTTTGAACCTTGGACGATGAATTCCAGTTAGAAAATAGATAGGAAAAGAATCTACTAGCTTAGGTCAATTTTATATTAGAAACTCTTAACACCTTTAAATTTTGTTTCTTTATTTATTTCACAGAATGTCTGTGCAATCGTGGTACTACGTGGAATAAAAATTTTGTTCGCGAGGCTTCGTTTTTTAGATTAACGACATAGAAAATCTGTCACACGTGTACCAACCCTTTCGCTGTTTAGTCCATACGACGAACACTCCAGACGAACTGTGTTTACGTGGCGCTACACTCTGATGGAGTGTTTAACACAATCTATCGGTTCCTCACAGAAACGTACAATATTTTGTATTTTGTCATAATTTATTAAATATTTTTTTGATTCTCTTGTAAAAAGTTAGTTTTCTCTGATACATGATACGAAACGAACAGTCAAATCGTATTAAATAAATAAAGTCGTAGACAGTGTATTTATTAGAATAATTATTAGAAATTTATTATATGACAAAACTGGCTGTTTCAGGCAAATGAAACTAATTCTATAGTGTTTTATAAATAAACCTTGATCCCTGAACATTCTATTATTCATAGAGATGGGATTTCCGAATGCTCGAAACCTCGAATCTTTTCACGATTTTACGTAAACCCTCCACTTTGACCTCTTTTGAACCGCTACTTTGCATGCCACGGTGATTTCCCCGCGCGCAAAAGAAATTGGAGATTCCCCAGTGTCTACAAAGTAACAAACGCGTCTGATATGAGCTCTCAAGCGGGAACTTATGGTTTTAATACTTTAATACGACAACCATTCGCGAGCTCAGGAATCTGAGATAGACGTAACGAACAACGTCTTGGAACATATTCCTACGTGGTTGTTAGCCTCTCGTGCATCGGTTATTAAATTATAGTGATCGCGTCGCCTCTTCACATGTTACGTCCTTGAAAGTCCCTAATAGTTTTAGTTATTATATTAATTAATAAAATTATATAAAATCGGAATAATTAGACTCGACAATCGTCTAAATAGCAAACATTCGAAGCAAAGGATTTGTTAAATATTTCCACAGTGCCACACCATCGTCCCTTGTTGGAATTCCTTGGAGAATTAACATAATTCAGTTCAAATATTATTCGATCGAGAATAATCATTTAAAAATAGACTGTTATTGTTAGGTCTCGAGAGATATGGTCATTACTGAAATTAGTCGACGCGACCATAAATTCTAAACACCTGACCTGGTTCTACCAGTAGTTCGCTGGATCGACGGTGTTCTTTTATAGCTGATTCAGGTGTCCGGCAGTGATCTACGAGTAACGAGGTCTAAATCAATTACAACCGTCAATAGATACCGACGCGACGATTGGGTATTAGCGTTACTCGTGTGATGCAACCCGAAACACCAAGATACGCGTGAATCCCGTTTCCAATTGACCGACAATTAATAGTCATTGAAAGACACTCTGACAACATTTCGATTATTTTCCTACCTTAGGGTTTAACAAAACTTGTAAATATCATCGATAGACTTCAACGTTCGATTTTTTACTTTCCATTAGAATCATTTATTTTGGGGCTCGATCGTGGTTTATGTTACATTTTAACACGTTGCCTGCCAGACTAAACCCCTCAAATTGTCTACTAAAACGATACTCTTTTTTTGGACATTTGGAAACTAGCATATCCACAATTTGTCGTAAAACTTATTTTTACAGCCTCTTTAAAATTTAAGTATCCTATCAAGATTTATTTTCTTTAAGATCTAATCTTGAGAAATAATTTTTTCAGCTCATCAGTGTAAATTCATCCATAAAATTGTTCTGTGCTACCAACGAACTTATAATTCGTAATAAGTGTGGAATCGTAGAAATGTGAAAACAATTTGGAAAAAGAAAACCCCAACCGAAGGCAATAACGCGATTAAACGGGAGAATTCCGTTAGAAAGTTGTCCACGTGAACCGTATCGCGCGAAATACTTCATGGCGTCGAGCTACCCCAAAGCCGGTGTACAATTGGCATCCTAAATCGCGATTACAATTTACGGTTCCCCGTTGTTCTTCCATTTGCACCGTGGCAACGATTAATTCGCCGGCCACGTTTCGATTCTGCCCGCGAACCGCGCCAGGTTTTGCGTAGAGGATTAAATTGCTTCCGGGACGATCCGGTATCAAAGGCACGCTCGAAAGGCACAATTACTCGTCCAACTCCGCTCGATCGACTTTCGTCTAATTTAATTGAACGCGGGTATACTTGAACCGACGCGGCGGTTTCTATTTAACGCCCGTAAATCTCTCGAAACTTCGTTGCAAATCGCGTAATTCCGAACGTTTTCGCATATGTGGGAGAACCGAGTTCGGTAACAATCCGGAAGAAGCTGTGACTGAGCTCTTCTGCCCCCCTGGGACGGATATCTCGTTCGTGCAATTTGCGGGGGGACGAAAACCGCGAACCACCCGGCGACGATCGATTCGATTGATAGTCGTAGATGTTTCTACAGTGAAATTAAAACGAAGGTATTTTTTTCAAGTCGTCCTGAAGAAGAGAAACTAAGACTCCCTTGATTTTACTATTTAACCCATTGCACTCGAAGACTTTTCTTCGACTACTACTAATTCAAACACACTTTAGGTAGTAAACACAAATAGGTAGTAAATATCCAATGAAACATATTGTTTTTTTCTTTAAAACAAATAATGTGTCCCTCCAGAGAGGACAGCCGAGTGCAAAGGGTTAATATTTCGAGTAAATCGGGAGTTTCGTTTACTCGAAATATAATTCTGGGTCTAATTTTGTTAGGGTAGCTTGGGTCAGTCGTGCGTTACAGAATAGAATAGACGAAGGGTTTGTTTGATTAAAAACGGTGCGTGCGCAATGCTATGAAACGAAGGGTTAAATACAAGTCCTTGGTCCTTTCCAGCGCCTGGAACTATCGCGCGAAACCGCAGACGGAACCGCGGATGGAGGATTCCATTCCGCCTGATGCTTCGATTTCTATCAGGAACGGTCGCGTTTCAGCCACGCGATGGGGACGTGGTCGTACTAACGCGGTCGACTTGCTCCGCGAGCAAGCTCGTCGACGATTTCTCGGGCTTCCACACAAGCGAACCGGGTTTCGCTAGGGACGAGTCGCACCGAAGAATAACGGCGATTACTGTGCAACGATAACGACACCCGACCGACGTACCCAACTTCGCCGACGCTTTTAACGTTTCTCAGCCCTCCTCTTCGCTCGGCGTTTATTCTCAATTACGACGGATTAACCCCGAACACTGTCGTCGGCGATAATATTTTTCAAACCGCGTAAATTCTAAAATAACCACCCGTTTCCCAGCTAATTGCTCGACTAGGGTTTCAATTGCAAATGTTTGTTAAATTTAAGATTTTTACGATATTTCTCTTCCTGGGGTTTCCTTTATAATTACCTCTGATGGGATAATATTCGTGCGTTCGTTTGTTTTATTCGTGTAACATGTTACCTGAGTTCGTTGAAATAGATCAATATCTCCATATCCTAATTTGTAATGGTAATACGTTATAATTCAGTAATTAACCCACTGGCTACAGGGGTTCGATTAATTGAGCAAAATTGACTAATTGAAGAGAGCCCAATATACCGCGAATGAATTGTCGTGATTGATACGTTAGGTCATCATAGGCCACAAAAGCCACGCAATATTTATCAAACGTTACTTCCTAAATTTTCTAAATTGGTTGTATCAATAATCTGACACTGTCCTCTAACGAATCATACATAAAACACCAAGAGGAAATGTTTACAGAATTAGTCAGGTGGAATTAATTCAACCACCAACGTTTTCTATTATTCTTACGCGCAGAACAATTGCTGAAACGAGTACCACGCGTTACGAAACACACTGTATGTGCAGAAACGTGCAAAACGCGCAAAAATTTGAGTGTCTCAACTAGCTAGATGAAGGGCCATCCTCGATGATTAACGCTTCCTTCTATCCTCCTCTTGTTTCGTTCTCCCCTCGTGCATTCTTCGCCGTTGAATGAAGGCGGGGGGCGGCGAAGGGAGCCGCGAAAATATAATAGGACGAAGGACAAGTGAAAAATTATTTTTCTCAAATATTCGATCCTCGCTACGAGCTTTTCTTCGGAATCACCCTATCGTATAATGAAAGGGTTAATTAATGGCTTTGAAATATCGAGCTCGAGGAAAAGTCACCTTGGCGTACCATTTTTAACTCGGACGTGAATTATGATCCCGGCGTCATCTGTCCTCCATTCTTCCCACGCTTCGTCGAACCTGAAAAGGTTGACAATAATTGAAATTCCAGACTGGTCTGGAACGGGAAAAAGTGTTCGCGAGGTGTCAGTAGAGTCAAGAAGAGACGGTCGAGACGGGAATATAAAATCTTGGAAGAATTGGCCGCACTGACAAGCCCCGTACGTGCTGTTTCGCCAAATTCTTTACCTCGAAACGAAGTTCGTTCGTTGCTGCTAGCGTTTCAGTCTCTTCTCTAAAGAGCTTCTCGCTTTGACGCTTCGAGAAGTGGGTCATACTGAAAAATTTTATATACTGAATGTAGAAACCGAA